TTCAAAGTGTTGACTATTGATTGAACAAGATGCTTGTTAAAAACATTCAATTTCTGGGTAATTGTCGATCATGCAATAAGTACGATCGCTGACTTGAAAGTAAGTGTTAAATTTGAATACAAGTTTTGCTCAGGTTGTTCAAACGATATGAGATGAATTATATAATGTTATGTTAAACATTGGTTATTGAGTTTACAACGAACAAGAACAAATTTTAAGTAAACGCTATATCGTGAAAAACTGTAAGAGAAGTTGGTTAAGTGACTTGAACATTGCATGCTCTCGTTGTATTTCTTCGTATACCCTTACCGAACTCCTTATCTTCATAAACTTTTTATACTATATGAATACAATACAATCTTGAAAGGCGCTTCTATCATTTATATTCTTGTAAAGGCTTTTCAGCATTTGAAAATTTTATCTATCGCAAACTCTAATTGAGCTTGAAGCATTGTCATATAGTTTTATATATTTACAAGATGAAGATTTAGTTTGGAAAAACGAATTTACATAAAATTACTAATTCATGGTGAAGATTTTATTATTAGCTAGTCTCTCGGTTCTTAATTACTTTGTTCAGCTTTTTCTCTTTCTGTTTTGCCGCCACGTATATTATGCTTTTTCCTTTCAAGATGCTTAATTTTTTATATTTAACCATGTTTTTGATGTGTTTCAAGATTTTCAATAAATATTTTATATGAAAATACGGCAAAGTTATGTGAATTCATCGAGACGATTGTTTCCCAAGGTATTCAAGAATCGGAATGCTGCAAAATTTTGACCGCATGCGTCTTATCAATCTTATTGAGGGTCATATCACTGCAAGTTATATCTACGAAAATAAGATTTTATATTTTGTTGTATCTGATGGTAAATAAAAGGGCGCAACGAAAGTTATCTGATATTTTGCTTTTCAAATATCGCGCAGCTGAAAAAATAAATAACTCTAAGCTTTCTGCCAGAATAAACAATACTTGATTTACGTAGGATATCTTCCGTCAAAATTCGAGTACTTCTTCAATTGATTAGCTGTCAAGCTGTTTCCAACATATCTGAACTGATTTGTCAAGTAGATGCCAAGTTCAAGTTTGAAGATAAGTGAAATTATCAAAATTAAGTAACGATGGAACATTTTCAAATGATCCACTCCGTTTACTTTGATATTATACCCATATCTAGGCGACCATTAGATTAGAATAGTCTCCAAAGGTTCGTAATCTTATTGAGCTTTGGCTGACATACCAACTTTTTGGTGGAGTTTTCCTCTAGGAGGTTAGTTTTGGAGTAAAATAATATCATCGAATTGCGACCTGAAACTTTGTCAAAATAAAGGTCTTGCTAAGACTATATCATGTAAAAGTTTCATCATTTTTTGGAAATTGCATCTTTCAAAAATAAATCTTTCAAAAAAAGGCACTTTTCTATAGATATAGTGTAAAACATGGATATTTTGAAAGGTTTATATCTTAAAGATGTAATTTATAAAAATGATGACACTTTACACATGAGGTAGTCTTAGCAAGACCTTCGTGTTGACAAAGTTTCAGGTCGAAATTTGAAGATATGATTTTACTCCAAAACTAACCTCCTACAGGAAAAATTCACTAAAAATTCGATATCTTGGACAAATCTCATTAAGATTACGAACCTTTTGGTGATTATTCTAATCTAATAGTCCCCTAGATATGATCATAATATGAAGGTAAACGGGTCGGATCACTTGCGAATGTTCCCTTGTAAAGACCATAGTAGGTAAAAATTAAAAAAAACATTATTGCCATCGTAAATTTGAATTCACATATCTTGTCGACAAAAATGTTACATATATATCAGTGCTTATTAGATGATCGTCCGAACCATAACGTGTCGAGACCGACATAAATATAAATATACGTTTTATGTGACGATGAACGATGCAAATTTTATCCTGTGTGAAATTCGATGTCTGCACTGAAAAAAATAAGATACCAGACGAAACCATTTTTGCAACGAATTTAAGACCTTTTTTCAGTTCCGTACTATATATGACACTGTTTAAGTTTTATACTCTGTTCGAAACTCTTTTTAAATCTCGTGGCGCGAACGAAACTATTTCTGGTTATACATGGTACCTTTTTTTCAGAGTGATATTACTTTCCAAAAACATGATTCAATTTTCAAATATCCAGCATGCACACAGTGTCTTTAATTTCAGAAGATAAATTATTCAAGCAGTCTTATGACATGTTTCCACACGTGTTTGACTGATATATCTAGAATTTGCGACTAAATTTCCTGATATAATGCGAGTAGGACACAGTTTAGTTTCTGTTTCAATTAATATAGACGTGTTCTGAAGAGTCGTATTTGTACGATAGTTAATGGCAAGAATTTCTTCGATGTTTTATACAGAATAAATGAAAAGATGAATGATAGAATAGAAGGATATACAAGTAGAGAAACACTTGATTTTGTAGCAAAATATGACATATAATGTCAGGGAGAATGTTTGAGAAAGAATCTGCTTTTCTGAATAACAATAATAAGACAATCAATGAGAAATTTATTTAGTTTGTTTATTGTTGAATTCTTGTTAGCGTATCTCGTATGTTTCTCGTGAATTGAAAAGTGCTCAAGTGTGCAGTTTGTTTTCAGTATTAATCAAGCTTTACCGTTATCTACATGCGATCCTACGTATTCATAATATGTTTCCGACCATTTTTAGAAGTTTTTGGTAAATTAATAGTCAGTTGACTCTCGAAAATATAAGGCGGATACATCGCTTTTTCATTCCATGTCTTAGTTGGTGAGACTTTAGAAGCTTTAACTGAATGTTGCATCACCATATGAAGTTCTTTTTCATGTTGTGTAAGTTGATGAAGTAGTCTTTTATGTAATTGTTGATAAGCTTGTTCATCTTGCTTCTCTCATATATACATTTCTTTGTTGAATTAAAAGAAATGATTGAAATGTTTTGTAAAAGAATGTCGTGAATATTGCTTTAACAATGATGACATGCCTATATAAACTACACTCTGAATTAAAATCATTGGCATCTGAACATACACGAGCTGTATGCAATAATGTTGCACATGGCATATGAATGATGAAAATGACGTGAATGACAAGATGTATAATGGGAAATATATGATTTAGTGTTTGGTTTATGATAAGCATATGTCCTCAATTGATCATTTTCGTTTGTGATATTCTCATCGAGAAAGTGAATTGATGCATCCATTACCGTGGTGCAGTTTATTAGTATAGGTGTCACATGAAGATCTTTAATGTTTGATTTCATCTACGAGAGATTGCAAACAATTGTTGATATAATACTGGTGGTCGACAGTTTGTGCCCGTTCCACGTAATGAATCGGAACAGGACTAATTGAGTTTGAAAGGATGGAAAATAAGGTTCTTGAAACAAATGTACTGCATCAACACACGGCAGGTAAAGGATCTCCTCTTTCCGCTCATGCAGCATTTGATGACTCTCGACCAATTCGTTCATGATAAAACCGAGACTCATCATCTGTCACCACGTCACATAAGTGCCATGTTCCTTCTTCAAATTTCACTAAATTTTGTTTACATAATCGAACTCGGTCAGCTCGTTGAAAGTCGATTAGATGCTTGAGTATATAACAAACGGTAATTTTCGTAAGCTTTAAATGATCAGAGATGATTCGCTGAATGGCATCATTATTTAGGTACCTCTGTTCTTCCACCTTTTCTATTGTAATGAAAGGATCATCATCGATCAGAAGGCAGACGTGATCAATATTTCCAGATGTTGTTACAGTAAAGAGGTCTGCCAAGTCTTGCTTCATCTTCAACTTCTTCTTGACGTTCACGAAACCATTTATACTACCTTTCAACTGTTCTAAGAGAAGAAGCTTGATCTCCCATGAACAGAATATAATGCATCATGAATAACGCTTAGTTGAATGCTAGGTACAATAAACAATATAATGTAGAAGCGAAAGTTTTCCGTATTCTTTTGAAACAGATGAACAGCGTTAAAGTTTAACCTAACTGTTCTTTTTTAATTTTCTTAAAATGCACGAATAAATTATGCATACACACAAAACAAACGAGGCAGATATCTTAATGTATTTGTATGTATAGATGACTAGGTATTAGGAGAGACGAGACGAAAAAAGATGAAAGAAATGAGAAGAGAAGAACAAAGAAAAAAAACAAGAGAATACGCAAGGGTGATAATATGAACATACTGTTCTGGTCAAGTTTTACACAAAAATAGTTGTTATAGAAATTTTATTATTACGATATCAGCTGAAAAGTGACTAAATAGCACAGAAAAATAGAACATTGTTTTCTCTATCACTACACAGAAAAGAAAATTTTTTCAAGTTTTCTATACGGAAATAAGCTACCTCCATCACTAGTTTTGGATTGCCCTAAATATCATTAATAGTTTGACTAAGATTCAGAAACATGTGATGAAGCCATATTTTTGTCAATTAAACTTGGTTCTTCAGCTGTATCAAATGTTGACATAGCTCATCCGTTAAATTAAATGCACAAAACAATGGTTAGAAATAGTTAACGACATTGGCATTTACACAAGTGCCTCTAATAAGCGTACATTATAAGTGATTGCATTAGTTTCAAATGACGATTAAGTTTATGGCGCATATATGCGTCGTCGGTAACAAAATGGTTAATATGATTATCATTTTTTTACAGAAAACCATCCAATAAGGTAAGTCTTTGTGAAATTTGTTTTTTTCGACTTCAAAATTATTTAAATGAAGACGACAACAATTGTTAGCCGCCATTCTCTTTGCTTTCTTACTCTCTCTACTTAAAATACTAATAAATAATGGAAATGAGGTCTCACTTGAAATGTGAATAAATAATGAGATGAGTCATTCAAGGCTATTTAATCAACAGCTACAATAAGAAAAAAAAACTTCAGTAAAAAAACGAATGCAATCTTTTATTTCATCATCGTCTGGTGAACTAGCTATCTGACGAAAAAAATTACTGATTCTTCGATGGCACTAATTAAATCTCTTCTTCTTCTCGAAGAAAATTCGTCTCTATCAACTCCGACCATTTCTAAAGACGATGATTCTAAACGACTTACTACTAATATCGAAGTAATTCATACGAATGCACTTAAAAAGGAAGAACAAAAATTGCAGAAGTCTTCACTGCCATCATTTAGTGAGAAGGTGGCTCATGCTGTTATTGCGGCTAATATAGAACCTTTACCAAATGAGATTATTAATTCTACATCATCTGAACAACATGCTCGTCGAACGGTAACATTTGATGATGACAAAGCTTCTTCTCGATCGATTTCGAATCAACCTATTCGTACATCATATATAAATTTTCGATTACCTTATCATAATTCAATTCCAAATAATCAACAAGAGACAGAATTATCTAATAACCGACATTCATTCGATATAGGTGTTGGTTCGGATTCATTGAGACTTACTAGACAAGATTTAACTAATCTCGTAAGTAACGCCAAATTTATCTTCTACTAATAAAGACTTTATACACGTATCTTTCTATAATTGTCAAATAAACATCAGATCCTTATGGTTTAATATTCTGCACAGTAAACTATTTTCTAATCATCAACATTCATACGATAAAATATATGCATCAAGACTTATTAATAAAGAATTCTTATTATCTCATTTTCTTTAAATTGTGACTAGGGACGCATCAATTCCTGGACTATAGTTACAAAGCTGACTTTTGCTTAGTATTGGGAATTCATTGTTTGGTTAACTTTTTATAACAATTTTAATTGCTCTATCCGAAGCTATCATTGGACAACGTCGTATCCTATTTTCAATATCGAAAGAAATCAAACTCAAGCGTTACATAAAGTATTCAAAGCTGGCCACGGCTGGTATAAACAATCCGCATAAATCTGTAGATTCTCAATATTATAGATAGATGCATTACTTTTGAAGTGAAGCTCCAGGAATTAGTTGGAATTTTTATATTCATATATACCCGAAGACAAGATATTTCCAATATTCAAAACTGCAAGTTTCTGTTAGTTAATCATATCAGCAGTGATCAATATTAAATACTTTATCTGATGTTTTAGTTTCATTTCTTTGAATAGTTAATACAAACTACGACATTGGCTGGAATTTGCCGAGTTCTCTCCTAAAACTCATAAATTCTGATAAATTCTGAATCTCGTTTTTCAGATTCGATGAAATCTAATGATACTTCAGATAGAGCAATCAAAACTGAGCACAGCTGTTATTTAAAAAAAAGTTGACACGACAATAAATTCTTAATAACAAAACGAAGTCATCTTTGAAACAACTGTCCAGGAATTGGTGTGGTCTTAATAGTGGCAAACGCTTTAATCAATAATTTCACTATTGACTACTATCTTTATTTATGTTTAAAAGTTTTCGGAAGCTGAATATATTCCAGGTGGTTTTGTTAATCTCGATCATGAATTAGAAGAAGAATTATTAAATGATTTTGCCGATGAATTCGACGATGAAACAACACGACGTAATCGATATAGTTCTTCAATTCGTTCTAGTGAGCATACTATAAATGTTACCCGAGAACCCATCGAACTCTGGCAACGTGCACGTATTCTTATTGCTGTCCATCTCTATAAAGTATTTCTGACAATCGTTTTAAATTTCACCAGTTTTCTTTTGAATTTGTCTTTTTTTTCTTTCTTGAAATAGATTCAAAATAAAACGCTTAATTCATATGACAATACATTTTCTACGTCAAAAATAATCGAACCATCGAAAAGAAAAACCATTGATGATAATAGACTTTCGAATGAGATCGATCAATTTGATTATTTAGAAAAACTATTTGAACCAAAAGAAAATATAGAAGAACGAAAGATTACATTTGGTCTTTCAATAATACAACAATTTTCACTTGATTCTTCTCAACAATATCAATGTGTAGATTTTTATGATGTTGGAGAAGGATATATTATTATGTGTAATGTTGTCAATTTGGATAAACCACAAGTCAATATAAAAGATTATTCACATCTAGGACAACTTCAATTATATGGTATATTGATAGTTGATATGCAAAAAAGACAAAAGAAATAAATATTAATGTTTCATTTTAGATAAATCTAACAATAAAAAATGTCAAATATCTGAACCAATTTTGAATTTAACAACAGATCCATCATTAACAACAGCCAGTAAACTTGTTGTGTATCCTATCAATAAAAAATCATCAAATAAAATTCAATCAATTGAATTTGACTGTCCTTTTCAATTTAATTTTATGATCTGTATACCTATTCATCGCTTAATTCTTGGTTTTATTAATATAAAAAAACAAAAATCATTAATGATAATAATTGGTGATGCATCACGTAAAGGTGTTTTCCTATCAAAACAAGATTTACCTGATTATATTTATTGCATTCTTTATATACATGAATCAACAATGCTTTTTGCTGGTATGAAAAACTAAAATTTCAAATAAAAAAATGTATTTTTCTAATAACAGATTATCGAAAAGTATTTTAACAAAATTGAAATTTATGTTCTAAAAATAGTTTTGTGTCTGGGCTTTTGTTTACACAAAATACTTAAAATGCGTTTAATTCAGTTTCTTCAGGGCCACTATTATGTTCCGCGTTTAAGAGCATTTATGATTCTTTGTTCCCATATTTTCAAGCTAGGGGTCGATTACTTTGTAATAATCAACGTTTCAAATGAAATCAAGTTTGATCTATCTCATGAGAAGAACATTTCTATGTCAACATGGTGTAAAATTCAGAAATTTCTCAATTCAATACTGAAAAGTTGCCATAATCCTCATTATTTAGTACTGACAAATTTCCATTTTTGACGCGCTTTAATTTGGTATAAAATTTGTTGTCGATGCTGTTTTAAAGTACACCGTTACCTCCATGGAAAAATATTATTTCCAATCTAGTGCACACACTATGAGCTTTAAAAATACAAAATCAAAGCATCGAAAATAGCTGTATTTGCTTAACATTTCCTAATTTTGTTCAACAGTCTTTTGCTTTTATTTGATAGTGGCGAAACGAGGTTTGGCACGAGACAGATCGGTCCCCGCCAGAAATGAGATGATCGTATCTTAGTGGTGAAGAAAATACCTGATTTTCAGCTTCAAACAGGACTAAGAATTCTCCTCTACAAATTTTTTCTAACTTCATCACTACTCTATGTCATGTATTTTATCAATACACATTGAACAATAATCTTGTATAAGTCGGACTTTTAGAACATCGGATAAAAATTTGACATGATCATCTTTGACCAATGACATAATACCAATAGCTTCTTCAACGCAAAGCCAAATTTATATCAAAACAGGTCAATGTACGAAATGTTTCAACAAATCTGACTCCTAGAATATTATTGCTCAACATTTCTTTCTTGATAAAGCACGTGACATAATATTGAGAGACAAAAGCAGCTGCACTCAAAAAGTAGAATTCATCAACTACCGAACCAAGTCGTCTACACAATACATGAAAGACTTTCGAACAAAGTTAAGAAAAATTAAAGATACACAATTATTTTCGTTACTTTAATGATTTAGTTTTGTAGATTCATAATGTATGTATTTCGTATAAAAAAAACCCAGGCACCAACCATTATTAAAGCTCATGAGAAATATACTTTTCGATTATTCGTCATTATATAATTCAGGTTGTATGGGTCGTGTTTTATTATACAATACTCAACCACTACAATTCACTTCTCAACCATTATTTGTTTCCGAACTTGCTAATTTACCATTTCAATCAATGGAACCAATAATACACATATGTCACGTAAAAACACATCGAGCTATTGGTCTTTTATCAAATCGATATTTTGTTTTATGGCAATATACACCAAGTGAAAACTTATTAATAAAATTTTGTAATCCATATCAATATGATTTTATTCGTTGCCATTATAATTCAAAATTTGATTATATTATATTTGCTTTTATAGATGGTTTTATTTTAATTTATGAAATAAATCAAATGAAACACATACGTCGTTATCATTATCATTGGAAAATAATAACTGATTTAGAAAATAGTAAAGATCAAAATTTACTTCTTTCATCATCAATTGATCATATTATTAATATTTGGAATTTAGGCAAAAAAAAATTAATAAATAAAAAAAGTACACATACAATACATACTGTTTTTATTTCTATTTTTAGAAACTCTTCAACATCTTTATCAATATAATACAAATGAAGAAATATTTCAAATTGATGTTATTCATGAAAATTTATTTTATTATCGTACTTTAAAACATATTATTCTTTTTAAATTAAATTTAGATACAATACTATTTTCAATTACAAAAGTCAAAGTTAAATCATTGAAATTATTTACGGATATGCAACGAATTGCACGTATTACAGCATTAGCTGAAGATAATTCAAGTATACTTATATCACCAGTTAGTGGATGTTGTCTGAATTATGTATCGAATATAGCTAAAAAGCCAATTAAGCAAATATTACATGATATTAGCAGGTAATGAAACACAATCTAGAAGAAGTGTTGAAGAATATAGGGTAGAAGCTTGCACTTCTCCTCCGACAGATCGTGGCTGACATTACTATGGAAACATCACAGTTCATGACACATGTAATTAACATACGATAACAGACTGTTATAGACGTTGTTATTATATGATCAAAGATCATATATCGGTAACGTCTCGTTATAGTATATAAATTGCTTCTGTATTGCATTTATAGAGGATTAAGTAAAAGTAGGGCAAAGAAATGTGTTCCAAAACAGATAAAATACAACAATCTCTGTGTGATGAGTAACATATGTCACATGATGTTTCATATATTAATCCCACAGAGATTGCACTAATAGCTTTTTAAATATAACATAAAGAATGGAGAACATTATCAAAATTGAATAAAGTTAAAAACTTGAAATTTTTGTTTTTGATTTCTGATAAATGAGAACCTATCTTTGGTTAAACGAAATCTAGAAGTTTAAACTAAATATTTTAAGAGAAATGTAGAATTTAAGGGAAGAAATTGCAATGATATGTATGTAAATATAAAAAAGACGACTTTTTATTAATAAATAAAAGATTTAAAGTTTATGATTGTGAGTTATGCAAATTCATCTTAACAGATTTTATACATCCTTAGAAAATCTCTATACTTAAGTAATGTACAGAAGCTTATATACCAACAATTATAAATTAATGTTGACCAAGCAATTAACGATTGTGAACCTTGTTTGATACAATCGGTAGCACATTCGCTACTGTCTAATGTGTATCAATTCTAGTATTTACTCTCTAGTTGTTTATTAGATGTGAGAAGATGAAATATGAAAGTGAACGAAACCAGAGCCAGACTATTCATCTGTTTAGCATGTCAACTGGTAATTCTGTGTGAAGGTAACCAACTTCCAAGAAAATTTCGTATGTATTTATTGGCATTTTATCCATTCATTATTCTTATTGATTGTGTATCTCATCACCGATTTTCTCTCGATGACTTATACCAGTGACTTTATTTCCGTTTGCTTTCCCGATCTATACCCTATAGAAGGAATGACTATTTAACTATGATACTTGCATCATGAGTTACGACTTGGTCTTTTCTTACTTACTGATGTACGTTAACTATTAACTTGACACATCACTATAATTACTAAGTACAATTAGTATCAATATATATAATATTAGAACGTTTCTAATACTGCACGCAGCATTTGAGAATATCACCGAAGAATAGAAGTTGCGGAATTTCGGCAAAATGCATATTGACCTTTTTATTTATATGCCATCAAAACAAATTGATTAGTGTATAAATCTTTATTAATTATCAAATGTTGATCGTATATAATTGTAGATCAAATATCTACTCCCTTCAATTCGATGGTGAAATAGTTCTCTATCGTGCTGATAATAATCCATGTGTAGCTGAATATAAAATTCGAACAAAATCAGAACAATATGCTATTACTTGCATGACATTGATTAATCCAATGCGTACACAACTCTTTAATATAAATACTATGCAAACTTCAGTAGAAAAATCTCTTGATAAACAAGTTGTCTTTTTTGGTCATGCAAATGGTTATATATCTCTTTTTCAAGGTATTATTTATTTCGATTGTTCTTTTTTTTTCTTACTTTTAGTACTATTCAGAGTTCTACGGGACGACCAAAAAGTCGTCCCGTCATGTTCCCGCGCTTTTATATCCCGTTTCATCCTGCTTCATTCTTGTTTGATCGTTCAATCCCGTCCTGCCTCATTCTGTCACGTGAACATAGCTATTCTTTTTTGAAGTACAACTGAAAAAGTCGAACGATTTTATATCTTCTTCTTCAATGTGAGTCATTTATTTTACTATCCATCTGTTTCAAAATAATATTTACATAACAATATTTTTGTCACAAAAAACAATCAAAAGCTCAATAAGAGGTACACGTTTAAATACTGCTCATCGAGTAACTAACCTGAGAAAAAGTATATTGTCGATATTTTTCGGGGTGTAAGTGTCAATGCTTTGAAAAAAATACAGATTTGAAGCAGTTTTTGAGCCTTTGAAAAGTTCTCTAGTTTACCCTAAAGCAGAATCCCTGAAAAACGGCTTTCAACATTAAAAACAATGGTTCTGACGTTCTCGTCGAAATGTTTGTTTTTTCATGACCAGAACATTTTTTCAGGAATTCGACCATTGGATAAAACACAGAACCTTTCAAAAGTCTAAAAGGTTCTGTAAATCTTCTTTATTTTTTTCGGAGCATCCATAACCCTGACTTATATACACTTGACGGGACGGGGCTATGAATTGATCTTGTTCCATCCCGTCCCGTCCCGCAGAAGATCATGTATCTGCTTGCTGTATCTTCAATTTTATCGTCCCAGGACGGGATGGAACGGGTCGGAACTAGTCCCGAGTCCCGCAGAGCTCTGGTATTATTATTCTGTTTTATATAGGTGATTCATTAATTATGGAACCTATATTAGCACATAAAACTTCAATATTATGTCTGGAAACATCACTCACTAGTATGGAAATGTCAAATATATTGTTTACAAATTGTGAAATTCTTCTTTCATCAAGTACAGATCGAACCATTTATTTATGGAATTTAACTATAAGTAAATTAGATGAATCTATTCAATTAATTCATATGTTAACTATTGAACAAGAAAAGAATATTTCATTTGAATCAATCAAATATTTATCTATGATTGATAATTTTATTGTTGCTAATTATTCTGATCAAAATTATTTACATATTTGGCAATTGTTAAATATTTCTATTCGAACAAGTATTCAAAATCAATGGGGTATTGTTGAGCATCCAACAAAAGGCAGTCATCATCATGGTCAAGTACAAGGTAAAATGATATTTCTTCTTCAATTTTTTTAAATAATTTTTTAAAAATTTCATATAGCTATAACTGCAACACCAAAATTAAAATTATTTGCTTCATCTGATAGTGAAGGTTGTATAAAGATATGGGATAATACAAATAGTCTATTACGTGAATTATATCTTGATAGATCACTTTGTGCTATTGAATTTCTTTTACAAAATGGTGAATTAATTATTGCTTATCAAAATAATATTCATTTAATATTACCTGAAAATTATTTACCTAATTATACAAAATTTAAAATAAAACAACAAAATTCTATCAATTATATTGCAGAAAATAATCGTTTAGAAGTTATTGAACCATTTAGTATACCTTATCAATCAATACCAATATTTGTTTATCACATTAAAACACATCATAGGAAAAAACGATTACAAACATTTGAACGACAATTAGAAGGTTAAGATTTATTTAAAAATAGAAAAAAATAAGAATATACTATATTATGAATTTCAATATTCTATTAGTTTTATATAAAAGAATGATAGACTATGCAGACTAAAATAATAAAAACTTAGCTATCTTTTAAGTAAAGTTATTATTATTCAACTAAACTTGTGACATAAAGTTTTTATCATACATTAACCTTACAGATTTGATATATTCTAGCAGAAAAAATATTTTCTGTTCATAAACTATACAAATCTGTAACGCTATAGAAAATTTTTTAAAAATCAAGTCTTTCAAATAGCTCATATTTAAATAAAAAACTATTCATTTTATCTTGAATCTTCCAGTAACCTAAAATACAATATGTCAATATGCAAACAATATTTCAGTACTAATCTTTGGATTTTTTTTACCAATGCCATCAACGACATTTTACAATCTTAATAAACTATTTATGGTTTCAAAAGGAATAACTACAAGCTCCTATACAGTCATGAGCGTGACCAATTGCTTTTTGGCTCTTCTTTCGCGCTTAGTAATACATATACTGGCGAAAAATGGGATATCATTTGCTAGCAGTATCAATATGCTCGAGACATCTTGCACGATCCATATGACCTGTAAGATCTTTGCTCTTCGAGATTCAGTACTGGTTTTTATTCTCTATTAGTTCATCTATTCTACACACTTATGTGTTCGACAACTCTGTTGTTTACAAGAAAAAAGGATTAATTTTACAATCAAAATTGTAGCAGCAAACATTAAGGTGTCGCTACTCAATAATATTCGCATAAACTTTTAGAACACATGAGTCATGAGAATATGCCATTTGATGCAAGTCGTCAATGCCCATAAAAGATATCATTTATAATGAAAGAAGCGTTGATCGTCCCGATCACATCTTGTCCATATCTACTTCTATAATACATTAAAAAAAAGGAATTTCAATATAGGTCCATAGTTCTGGATCTTTCCATCATGAATCTAGATTTACCTGTTTTCTTTTCAAAGAATATTATGAAACCTCTATAGATAAAAATCACAAGTGCTGTTATGTCCATGTAGTAAAATAAATAATTGTAGCTTTCATCTATTTATCATTATAAACAATAAATTTTTAAATTTTCTATATTGAACAACAAAAAGGTCATCTACTTTTTGAACATACAATTTTTTTTTCTAGGTCGTTTTACTGTCATTGAAAGTGATAGTTCTCAATCAGATAATGAAAATTCTCCATCATCAAATACTGATCGTTTATCAACAATTAGTGATGATTCCAATTGGTTTGATTTAGCTGAAGATGTCAAAGACATATTGCGAATGAAAAAATATGAAATTCGACATGAAAAAAGAAAGCAATTAAATACAATAACAACAGAAATAAATGAACAATCTTTATCTTAAAAATAAATTAAAATGGTCTAAAAGAATGAAAATCATTTTGACTATTATAGATTTGTGGTATTGAAGGATTTTCATGTTTAACATATTGAGATCTATATAAATAATCCATTTTTGCTTTTTGTCCATATTCATTAGTCCATTCAATAAGAAAAACAATTTGTCTATGACGTGGTGGTATACAATCATATGTTGATAATGATTTACGTGAATTACGAATATATTTACTATCATTTAAATCAATTTCAAGATTTAAAAAGTCTGTTGTTGATAAATTTTCAGCAATAAACATTGTAAAATCATATTCTTTTGTTGTTACATAATAATTACAATCTTTTCCCTAAGAGAGAAAAAATTTTCATGAAAAGAAAAAGAAAAAGAATTTTTAACTTAATAACAAACCCTTTGCGGTTGAATATTATTTTTTACAACCGTAGCAATTAAACAATCAGTTAATAGTGTTGCTGGTTCAGGAGTAACTTGAACATTGATTTGAATTTTTGAATGTATGACTAGAGTATAATCTTTAACAGATTGATTATCTTCATTCCAAAAACTAGTTGAAAATGGTATAAGAACATAATAACCCGGTCTTAATGAACCATTCCAATGAGTAAATGCTCCGCGACTTGTAATTAATACAGCTTGACTTGTTCCAACATCTTTTGATGGTCCTTGTTCAACATTACACAATACTAATGATTGTGTATGATAATTTCTAATTCGACGATTTGGACGATGATATAATAAACTAAGATTAACTAATGATGTTCTAAAAATATTTACAAAAAAAAAACTAAAACTAAAATATTAGAAATATATTTACTTTGATAAATGAAATTGAAATGTTGGAATTGATTGTGTAGATAAGCGTGTAAAACGATTTACTTCACGTATATCATAATAATCATTTGCATAAGAAGATATTGTAATTGAATTAAAAAAACGAAGAAATTTAGGCCAAGAAATCCAAAAAGTACCTGGTGATACGGTATTTCTATTAATATTATTTAACTTATTAAGAATATATGGTGTTATAGATTCATCTATATAATTTGAACGAGCATGTGGGTCTCGAACTAATACAAATTGCATTGAAACATTTGATATTGAATGTGCCGCAAGCACAGAAAATGCATGATTATTCGGAATATTGTTTCGAGCATATTCTTCAACGCTAACATCTGAGCGACCAGTTGATGCACCAATTAATAAACTAAAACAAAACAAACGACAAAGAAAATAGTTTTCTATAAAAATCTTTGGAAAGAAAAAAATTACTTAGATTCGCACGCCGATAAAAGTTTCGCCCAAGCAATCTCACTATCTAATATATTATTTGATGGATTAAGATCAATATGATCACATGGTGCACCAGTTAATAATTGAAGACCTTCTTCTGTTTGTCCACTTATTAAATCAGCATATGAACCAAATAATTTTGCACATGCTTTTTCAATAATTGGTACATATAATTGACGACGATGTGCTTGTGTGAATGCAAGTTGATTGTATTGTGTACACGGAAAACAATCATCAACAATAACTGTTTTCCATAAACCATTATGACAAATACGCACAAGATATACACCTTGATCATTTATTGTTTTTGTTAATAGTATATGTTCAAGCATTTTTGGTCGTTCAGTAATTAAAGCTAATGCAGCCATAAGCCAACAATCACCAAGAGCACCTTGTTGAATATCACTTGGTTCTGGTGATGAATAAACTGACCATTTTAAACAGAGATCTGACGCTGATAGTGGAGATATTTCAGAAATTCTTAACCATTTTAATGGATGATTAATAAGTGAATCAATTTGACCAATAGAACGCAGTATTGGAGGAAATTGATCATCAACAAAATTTGTGTTATTCTACAAATAAAAATAATAATATTATTATTTAAAATAAATTTCAAAGAAAGAAAGAACAAATTAATTACTTGTTGACAAAATAAAATTATACTAGCAAAGAGTTTTTCTGCATTTGTTTCATCGGTATGTCGACGATCACATATAGCAAGTGAAACATATGTTGTTGGTGATGCTTTTGTATTAACAAGATTTCTCTAAAACAAAACAGGATATTTAACTAAAAAAGAAAACTACATCAATATATTCTTACTGAAGATATCATCGATTGATTATTTAAACCATTATTTTCTAATCGATATGATCTATTTGTTGGTACTGGATTTAAACATATAATTTTTTCTGGCTTTTTTTGATGATTAAAAATAAAATTATTAATAAACTTGATATTATTCATACTAATTATCTACAAGAAAAAATTGCAAAATAAATATTCAAAGCGTCAGCTGTCTAAGTGTAGCCAATTTTCCTATTGTTTTCTCTTACTCATTTTTTTTCATATTTTAGTTCATTTTATCTACATAACCTCGAACAGTCATCTAGTGATGTGAGTCATCAGTTTGCCCTTTTCCCTCTTCTCGTTGAAGATGGAGAACAAGCAAGAAAGGAGAAAAAAAAACATATATTATATATTCTGTGTTACCATGCAAATTGATCACATGAGATCATGGACAACGAAAGAATATACAAGAATGATCTATGATGCTTTTTTAATCATAGTGTACAGTTGCTTTAACTTTAACTTTAACCAAAACATTAGTTTTGATTATTTTACTGAATATACTTTTAATTGCATGATTTTTCACTCATACGGTTTTTTAATAGTGATTTATAAGTCTTGTCCTTCTTGTTCTTTCTCGATCATTTTTAAGTACAAAAAGAAACATGATGTCAAACGAAATTTTGTTTCAGGTTAAATTCTTAATGACTTACATGATAGATGTACTTGAATAAAATCATTAGCCTCAAATGTCTTTATATACCTGATCAACCAAGTACACCGGAATCAGAATAGGAAGAAAAAAAATCAATGTTTACCAGTTCATATGATCAAAAATCTTATACCACGTGGAGTCAAAATGAAAATTTCATCGGTCGTATATTCCATATTTTGATAGTATAAGTGCAATCTTATCTGATTCAACTCCTCCGAACGTTGTTGTAATTGGAATGGATATCATCAAATATCAGCGAAACAATGAAAGAGAAATACGAACAGAAACAACAAAAAAGAATTATATATATTAAATGTCAACGTATGTAACTATGTGTCTTTTGCAAATAGTTTTCGTACATAAGTGCATATTAGATGTACTCGTTCAGTTAATATAAAATGAGTAAACTCGAAGTTTTTCAAAGATCGTTTAAGTTTCATCGAGATCTAATTCCTGTGATGATACGAGACTGAAACAATCTGTTCGTTTTGATAAAAATTCGTTGAATCTTACAGAGAATTTATCTCGGAAATAAATATAAAATTTATATAATACAAACACAACTAATGTTCACAATCAACGAGTAATTGTTTTATTGACAAATTATTTGGATGTTTCAAGATTTATTTGGAGTGGGTCTGGTTTTTTTATTCCTTTTTTTAATGAAGTATCGTCAAAAAATAAAAAGCTTTTTCAATAGTTTATACCTTACTGTCTTGTCAGAACTATAAATGCAACGAAGACAGTGGTCATTCGCTTTATTGATGCATCCGTCTTACGTACAGCTTTTCACAGATCTAAACATGTATGCATAGACTAATGGTGAATGCACGATAAAATTATGATGGTCTTGCATTGATATAGATTTTTCGATCGAAGAGACTATTTTAAGACAGTAGCAGAATTTTATAACAATAGACTAAAGGTTTTCGGAGTCTATGAATTCGCATTTTCAGAAGATTTATCGAAATTCTCGAGGGCAATTTTCTCGTTAGAGAAAGGCTTAGTTCTTGCAGTTTAGTTTTCTTTTATAGAATTCAGTTACTTTTGTAAGATAGATCTCCCGTGACTGAAAAAGTCGAAATGAATCTAAGATCATCAATAATTTGATCATGCATTCATTGTCTCACCATTATTCTATACGCACATGTCTAGACTATTGCAACACTTTACGTAAAACCAGTACATCGATCAATTCCGTTATTAATTTCAATGTAGAATAAGAAAGTAGAACAAAGAATTTCTTATTTTAAATCAGAGATAAAAAATAAATTCTGAAAATCTCTTATTCAGATTATGATTTGTTTAGAGTTCAATCGAAATATGTTAAATCATGTTGAAAAAAAATAGGCTCACAAGTTTAGATAAGTGTAGTAAGTTTTGAAATAGTATGCTTCAATATATTTGTATTTAATACAAGTTAACAAATATTTAATTATAAAAATTAGCGAATCTTATTAAGCTTTCTTTTTCTTTCTTTATTTTTGTAACTATCATTTATTCATAAAATTAATTTTCTTTCTATGTTGCTTCACTAATTTATTAAAAAAAAAAAATAAAATAAAAATTCTTTTTGTTTTTGGTATTTGTCCATGATTCAAAGCAAATTTGTATTTTTAAACTTCTGTTTTTTTTTGTGAATCATTATTAATCATCTCCGTTTTCAGCATCTTTTTTATCACCATCCCCACCATCATCATCATCATCGTGAAGAAAACTTTTATCATCAACTTCTTCTACTTGTAAATATCTTTCACCATCAACATTTGTCCAATATTTATTTGTGTCTAAATTACGTTCTTCAGTTGACATTTCATTTTCAATGGCAAATACAATACGTGCTCGTTCTAAATGCCTGTTTTATTTTAATAGAAATCAAATATTTTCAAATAGAAAATCAAAACAAATAAATAAATAAAGAATTCTACTAACCATATTTGTGTAGCACCTTCAATAACATTTCCATATGTGTCACCCATCATAGCAATAAGTAAATTAAGTAAAAGTATTGTTACAACAATAATATATGAAATAAGTAATGTTACACTTATATATCTATATGTTGTGTCGGTGTAAGCATCAAGATCAAAATCACCTAACATACCCAAGAAACTTTGCTTAACACTTACAAGAAAACCACTAAAACCTAAAATAGAATAATAAAAAAAAATAAAAAATTCTTATTCATTCTATA